CACCCATGGTAAAAGCAGTTATGAAGTCAAAAGATGTGCTGCATTAGAGAAATCTTTTGTTAATGACCACCCATTAAGCAATAAAATCAGTTTAAATATTAGAGGTGTATCTCGCGCAAGCCGTGGTATTTTCCATTGCTTCCTATGCATATGTAAGTTGAACAGAAAATAAAGATAACAGAGAAAGAATCAAGAGTATTGACTATCCCACTGACTGCCTAACCAACACTTAAGTCTAGCCTGGAAGAAGTATACCCAGGGTGCTCCCTAGAGGCAAGCATGGGGAAACTTCCTCACAAACTACTGGTATATTGTTATTAAAAGAGGCAGTTCTTGGGAAAAGGTAGCCTATCAGAGAAAGAGAGAAAGAACTTCAACAAGACAGGCTAAACAGTGACTTAACCAATGGACTCAGTGTATAAGTGTGAGTATGGAACAGGACACAGCAAGGTTCAAATATGTTGTTCACAGGGTTGCTATCAGTCACAGTTGATGTAAGGGTACCTAACAACAACTATATTTGATGCCTCAGTTTAAGGAAACCTCATTTTTCAGTATGTGTACTTTTATAATATTTCTACTAAAAACAGTCATTTACAAGACAGGAGAGTGCCTATCAAAGTAGCAGGTACAGTATAGGTAATAAAGTTAAGATCAACTATTCTCTACCCCTAGACATACTTCAGACTAGCCAGTTCACATAAAGGCAGTATCTGGATTATAAATAACATCATTCCTGTGTATCTTTAAGTAAAATTTGTTAAATTAGAACAGTGAGGGCAGAAATATTTAGTATCAGTTACTTAAATGTTTGCATTAGTACATAGTGTACCCTTCTATAACATATTTCTATAATATAAAGAACCATTTTCAGATACACTATACCTTTAAAATAATATAGTAATAGTATTTTTCTATGTTGCAAGTAATTTGTTATTACAAAACACTGTACCCAGAATCTCATGAACTAAGGATTAATAAAAACATTATAAGGGGTCCACTAACATATCCTTCCAAAAATTTAACTATAGCTGTGATCATACAAAATACTTACTTTTCAGTTGAAATAATTAGAACACTATTAAATGTGATTTCCCTACTAGTCTGTATCTTATTTTTGTCATGGTTTCAATTCTGTGTCCCCCAAATAGTGTGCTGTGAAAATTTTATGATTCCCTCATGATTTGATATGCCAAGCAATTTTAACAGCTTTTCACTCTTTTCAACCCAAAAGAGTTATCCCAGCATGCAGCCTATAATACCTATTTCACAAGAGATAAAAAAGAGAAGAGGAGAGCAGAGAAGGGACCTAGGTATGACCAAGAAATAATGGCCAGAGTGTAGTCTGTCCTGTAGACTTAAGTCTCTGCACTGAGATGCTCCCCAACACAGGGAAACTAAGATCCATGGAGATCTCCAAGGAACACTGGGCTTACAAGATGCTGAAGGAAAAAAAGGACTTCCTTCAAAACCAAGAGAAAGAAAACATCTTCCCTTAAAGATGCCACCCTGAATCTAGACTTCTAAACTCTTAAACCATAAAACAATCAAATGTATGCCTACTGAAGCCAACTACCTCTGGTATCTCTGTTACATCAGCACTAGGTAAATAAAATAATCTTGACTCATTTTCTTGAGAGTAAATTCACATTACTTTTTCCTAAGTCAATGATATCCTCTCAATTTTTGTTCTTGAGTCTCTCAGCCATGTCTGGCTGCTAATCACCACTTTCTTAAAACACTACCTTAGGCTTCTCTAACAGTATATTCTTTGGTATCTATATAAACCTCTCTAATAACTCTTATCTTTCACTGATTTTTTTAACCAATCCTGACAATTTCTTAAAAGTAGTTCAGGACTTAAAAAAAAAAAAAAAAAGTCCAGGCCTAACTTTGATTTTCTCAACTCTGAGTCCCTGGCACTAAGCACAATTGTCTGATATAAAGAAGATGCTCAATAAGCCATTTACCAATTGGTTTTGCTGATCCTGTCCCTGGTTCATACTAGCTATATGACAGGAATGTAAAATCTCAGTTAAGCGCAGTTCCCTCATCTACAAAACAGCCGAACAAAATGATTCTTACAAAGTTCAAAATAGTACTTAGCTCAAAGAACTTGACTAATATTTTTGACTGTTAACAGAAACTAGCAAGGAACTATGGTTGCACACCAAATCTATCCTGCAATAATCCTACATTCTATCTATGTCTCATATAAACATTTTTGCTCTTTTCTTTTACTGCCAATCTTCAATCCATCAATTAACTGTTTAAGTGCTTCTTTTCTAATCACTATATTGTTGTGTACTGTTGCATTGGAACCAACTCATAGCTAACCTTCCTGGTGGGTTTTCAAAGGCAGTAAATGGCACGGGATGAGATTGTGCCTTTTCCTATGGAGCAGCTGGTGGATATAAACAGCGTACTTTTGGGATTACAGAGCAGCTTCTTACCACTAGACCACCAGAACTACCAGGTAACTTAGTGAATAACGACTGACTACTAACCAAAAGGTCTGCAGTTTACATTCACCAGCCATTCCAAGGGAGAAAGATGGGCATCTCTCTCTTCTCGTAAAGATGTAGAGGCTCAGAAACCTGATTGGGGGGGGGGGTCTTCAGGAGTCAAAACTAACTCAACAATAACAGTGATTTACTAATTCATCTTCATTCAACTCTTTCTTAAGTTTTAACTCTTATAGTTTTTTTATATCATGTCCATAAACCATGTACAAGTACTGGAATGTCATCTTCATTTCTTCCAATAATCCATGCCCCCAACTCATAGTTTAAAAGATGGTTCAAAACTCACCTCTTCCCAGGAAACCTTCCCTGATTAACTTCACAACTCTCACAGGACTTCTCTGCTCCAAATCGCCTCAGCACCTCAGCACTTAGGTATTCTGTTTATATTCTAAAGGTAAAATGTGATCACAGTGAATAAAGTTACCAGAATTATGCCACAAAATTAGCTCTACATTTTAAAAATGGGTTCGTTTATTATAATGCTCTGTGAATCTGGTTACAAGGAAATATCCTATATAACAAAGGTCCTTTTTTGGTTTCTTTCCTTGACATTGTGCTATTTTTTTTTTCATTTGCTAATATGTGCTTAACTCCAGTCCCGGCCTCAAAGACAAATTATACCTCAATGCTCATCACTTTCTAAATCTGAGTCCACTAGAATGTGGCAGTAGGTCACTTTCTTCTCTAATATTTGCTCCCTGCTCCACTCTGCAACCTTAATATTAGAAATAGAATTCTCAAAAGCTTCAATGAGATAGTGATACTTACACATGAAAAAGAACTCTAAACATTAAGTAGCTATCCTTAGGGCTTGAAAAGTTTCCCAGCAAGGCATAATGCATAATCAAATTCCAGAACATCAAATAGTTGATCTTTTACTCGCAGAGGGAGCACTGGTGGCTCAGTGCTAAGAAGGAGCACTGCCAACCTGAAGGTACATGGTTCAAATCCACCAGCAGCTTGTCAGGAGAATATAGGCAATCTCCTCTCCTGCAACTTACTGGCCTCTGAAAACCTGCTGAAGGGTCAGCTAGAAGGTGGTTCACACTCCACAGTACATAACAAACAACAACATACACAAGCAGAAGGGGTCTTCCTAGCATGGTGGTTGAAGTGCTCTGCTACTAAGTGAAAGGTTGGCAGTGTGAATCCACTAAGTACACAGCAAGGAAAAGATGGGACAGTCAGCTAGTGTGCCTCTGTCCTACAGGGTCACTCTCAGAATCTAGTCAATGCAGGGATCATTTCAGCTGGACTAGACTAGATGTTAATTCTCACGTGTGTTACTTTAAGATATTTACTTTAAGATATCCTTATATGTCTATACGCTGCAGATACTCAATGAGACAGCTGAGAATCTTCACTGTAGTGCTGATTTTTCTTAAGAGATTGTTCTGATACTGTCTTAACTTCCAGACTTTTTTAAGTGGAAAGCTCTCTCACTGTCACACAATCAAAAGCAAACAGTATTTATGCCATTTCTTTTTTAAAAGGTGAGTTAGTTCGCTGCCAAGTCAAAACAATTAGAAAGGTGGGGAGGGGAGGGGGCGATCAAACTTCAACAGCCAAAGTTAAACAAGTCTGAGTGTAGGGCCTCTAGTGATCAAGCTGACTCCGGCCAGACATTCGGCTCTCCAGTCTCTGCATCTGGCAAAACCCATAGTTGTACGAGCTCATCTACTCATAAAAGATACACTCCCTTCACCTGCCTACACACGAATTTTAATCTCTTTGGCTTCTCCCGTACTTTCTAACCGGTCAGCTAACGCCTCCTAGTCAAACAGCCTCCATCCATACCTCATCTAAAATCTCCTCTCGGTCACCTTTCGATTTCACTGGTTGCCTCGTTCTCCACGTAAGGATTCAATCTAGATGCCCGAGTCCTTAACCTTCAAAACCCAAGCCGGTCCTCCGTCTACAAATCAGCCGATCACTCCCATCCTTACCAATCTCCATCCAAGAGACCACACTCTCAGGCTCCGCACCCTCTCCTCTGGCGGCCTTTTCTCGCCATCACCGTTTTCACATCACTTTCTTCCTCCCCAGACTCGGAACCCTTCAATCACAAGCCTCCTTTTCACTGCCACCCCGAAACACGCTATCCGGTTCCTCCGTTAACTACCCCGCCCCACCTTCGCCACCTCTACGCGGCCTCCCCAGGCCAGGCGGCGTCCCTGGGTCCCGCGCTGCAAAGCAGGCCCCTCCCTACGTCCCCGCCTGGGGTCCTAACTCTCCAGAGGGCGGCTGCCAGGTCAATTAGCGGAGAAACCCCCGGCCCAGAAGCCCGCTTCCTTCTCACAGAGCTGACGCGGGTGAGAGTGGAGGTGGAGGTGGAGGCGGGGGCGGGGCGGTGGGTCGTCGCCCCCGCTTCGGCCCAGCCTGCCGCACAGGCTCCCGCAGTCGCAGCCGCTGCCCCGGCCAGGAGAGCCAGCGCCTGCAGCCCAGCAAGTCTCGCCCGGCGCCCCTGCCTCTCACCTAGACACAGAGGCTCAGACCTCGCTTTCCTCCTGCCAGTCTACCGATGACTCTGCCGCTGCGGTCGCGCACACCTCACTCGCTTTTTCACCGCCCGCGACCGGCTGCTGAAGAGCGGACGGGCAGAGACACGCCCATTGGTTGCGGGGCGTACTAGCGTCAGCCAGCCCCGACCCGCACCTCGGGATGTTACTGGCTGGCGCGGCGCCTCTTTTCCACGTCTTGTTCTGATTGGCTCTCTCGCGCCGGGAATACCGCTCATCCCCCCTCCCAGTTTTGGCCTCCCACCCCTCCACAAGCCTGTTTCCATCTGGGCTGGTGGGAGGTTGGAGCCCGGGATGGGGGGACGCGGACGGCCAATGGGGGTGCGAAGAGAGGGTCGGGAGGTGGGCTCTGCGGTCGGCCGGCCCGCGGGAGAAATCTCAACCAATAGGCACGCGCCCCACATGCCAGACTCGGCTGCGCCCTCCCTGGCAGCTTGCGTCCAGGCGGGTCGCGCCCAGGGCCACGCCCGATTCCAATCGAGCTGGTGGGGGTGTGCACAGTGGGGAGGATGCGGGGAGGCTTGCGCGAGAGACTGAGGATCAGCCATTGTGTCATGCTCCGGCATTGCCTATGTGGGGCCTGCACGCTTTTAGGTGGGCCAAGACCCTGCACTTCCGGGTGTTATGGATCCATTCTGAGTACTTACACCTTGATGGTACAAATTCAGTGCCTTGAATGCAAAGGACCTGCTCTTCGGGCCAATGCAATCCCTTTAGAGTGTCCCCAGAAGGAAAGAAGCCAAGCCTGGGTCTCATCCAGCCTCGCAAAACTCTTACCCAAAACATTCCATCTTCCACACTCTCCAGAGTAATTTCGTACAAAACTAATCTCGGGTGAGAGAAGTAGGAATAGTGGTTGGAAGGGGAGAAGGTAAGTTTAAATTACTATCTTTCCATTTAGATTAGCATATCTGTGACATTATTATGTAGTATAACAGCTCATTGCTTTCAAGTGGGAACTAACCCTCCACCTGATTTTCGGAGGCTGTAATCACCATCTTTCGGATTGACAGTAGAACTCTTTAACCACAGGGCCTCCCTTGTGTAGGGTAACTAAGCAAACGAAAACTCCAAACCCACTGCCATTGAGACAATTCTGACTTATAGTGACCCTCCACTGGGTTGCAAAGGACATAAATAATTACAGAAGGTCATTCACCCATCTTTCTCCCACAGAATAGCTGCTGGATTCAAACCCTGGGCCTTTTGGTTAGTAGTCCAGTCACCACAGCTCTTTATAGGGTTATTAAAACTAACCCCATTTCCCTGTCCGATTGTTTCCTACTGAAAAGTACCCTCCGGTTTTGGGGGCTATAAATCTTTGTCGGAGGAGCCGGCCCACCTTTTTTTCAGAGAACTGATGGTGCATTCAAGTTTTCAAACTTAAAGTTGGTTAGCTGACACAGTATCTCACAAGGGCTCCTTTTTCAATGGGTGACTGGGGGCTGGGGGGGGGACACAACCAAAATAACAAAACAACCACAAACCAAGTATTTCATTGCCATGGAGACAGAGGACTCATATCACAGCTGATCTCCCAGCAGGTTTTTAGAGGGAGTCAATCAAAATGAAGAAGATTGCTCATCTTTTTCATGCGGGTGGATTCAAAATACCTACCTTTTGGCTGGAGCTGGTGAACAGTGGCTTTCAGCATTGGGCTGCTAACCAAAAGGCCTGAGTTTCAAAGCTGCAGGTGAGGCAGTCTGCTGCTGTAAAGATTTACAACCTTGAAAATTCAATGGGAAGAGTTCTGTCCTGTGTTAAATTAGGACCACTGTTAATCAGACCAACTGGACCACAGTAGTAGTAGTCAGGAAGGTTGTCTTGGCCCCATGTCGTTATTACAAAAACATGGTAATAATTGGCTTTAAAATGTGTCTATAATTGCTTCAATATAAGGGGAATCTGATAAAGGAACTAGAAAAGTTTCTCACCTTGACCAAGGTAGTGGTTACACAAGTGCATACTTGTATCTAAGCCGGACACTTAGATACATGTATAGATGTCTGAGCTCTAATCAATGTATGTTGATGGACTAGAATAGGTCAGAGTGGTGTGTTTTTTGTTGTTTTGGGATTTTCCCCCCAGTAGTTTCAGCACCTAGCCCTGTTACTAACACAAAAGCAGTCCAAGTCCTGTCCCCAACAGAAAAGCTTACTAAATTGTCTACTTGGGGCAGATGTCATTTCTGAACCTTGATTTGAATACTATGGCTTTGAGTCCCTGCACTAACTTATAGTAAGACTCAGAAGGCAAAAAGGAAATTGTAACACTGGAGACGACTTGAGACAATGAGAAACAATGGCAGAGAAATGGCAGCTGCCTAGAGCAGCTCATCGGCCAGCACCAACTTCTGCCATTTCAGGAGGAAGATGCAGTTACACAAGCTAACACAGCCTCTTGCCTCAGGGTTGACTGCTAAATTAGGCCAGAAGTGTGCGCCTAGAGCCTAATCTAATAGCAGAATTTTGAAACAGTCAAGAGCAGGTAATTTCTTAATGAGTTCATTATGGTTTGATTTTCAAGATAGATTTAGAGTTGAGAGCATACAGGTGTCTCACTGGATTTAAGTCCGTGTGTGTAGCGTGTGCCTCCAGCATGGATACCCTCACAGATGGACAAAGTTTTTCTGAAGAGGGACTTAAAAAATAAAATAATGCCTCTGAAAAGCAGTAAAAGCTCATGGGTATAGCATAGTGGGTGGCCAGAGTATCTCATACCTCATTATTCTTAAATAAACAAAAAAATTTAAGGTTAAGTCATATCAAAAACCAAAATAACAACAATAAACCAGCCAAAACAGGATTGTGGGGTCAATTCCTACTGATGTGTAGTGGCCCTGCAGAATAGAATTATCAGGGTTTCAAGGCCTTAATAGCCTTCATTAAAAAAAAAAATTACAGTGGAGAACACCAAAGGCTAATCTAGATAATGTAGTAATAAAAAAATGTTATTCATTCAACTACTTTTCCCATCTTTACTCATCAGTAAGCCCAAGATTGAACTAATATATGCTAGAAACAACTCCACTGTAATTTTATTCAAATATGAAACAACTTTATGTGCTTTTAAACCCCAAAACCAAACCTACTCTCAATGACTTAATTCCAACTTCTAGCCAACCTATAAGACGGGAAATTATTCTAAAAGGGTTCAAAGGCTGTAATATTTACAGAAGCAGGCTGTCACATGAACTGCCATGTCTTTCTCCTGAAGAGAAGCTGGTAGGTTTGAACCACAAGTCTTCTGGCTAATGACTAAAAAAGATTATGTGCTTCTTACACATGCTATATGTACATGGTGCTGAAAATGAAGTTAAATTATACCAAGCCCCTACCAAAAGCAATCTACATGTTCAACACAATCCCAATACAAATAACAAATTCATTTTTCAAGGAGATTAAAATGGAAATTGTCAAGTTTATTTGGAGAATAAGCAAAGCACTTCTCAGAAACAAAAATCAAGTGGGAGACATAGCACTCCTTGACCTCAAAACCTACTACGCAGTGGTAATAACCCAAACAGCGTGGTACTGGTACAATGACAGGCACATAAACCAAAGGAATAGAATTGAGAAACCAGAAAAGGACTCAGCTATCTATGGTCAACTGTTATTTGACAAGAAAATAAAACCTATCAAATGGGGAAATGACAACCTCTTCAACAAAAGGTGCTGGCAAAACTGGACTGCTACCTGCAGAAAGCTGAAACAGGATCCACATCTCACACTATACACAAAAATCAACTCAAGGTGAATCAGAGGCCTGGGAGTAAAGCCTAAAGCCATAAAGTTCATCAGAGACAAACTGGGATCAAGCTTAGATGGGATAATCTACAGCATAAAGAGACTGTCAAATACAGCCAGAAAGGCTCAATTTGGAGAGGACAAAATTGGTGAATGGGACCTTCTAAAGATTAAATCCCTGTGCACATCAAAAACATTTTCCAAAGAAGTGAAAATAAAACCTACTTATTGGGACCAAACATTTGGCAATACCATTTCAGACAAGGGTCTCATATAAAAAGTTAACAGAATACTTCTGAGCCTCCACAGAAAAAGACTGATCACACAATTACAAAATGGGCAAAAGGATATGGAATGTCTTTTCACAGAGCAAGATATTCGGATGGCCAACAGACACATGAAGAAATGCTCAATATCACTGGCAATAAGAGAGATGCAAATCAAAACCACAATAAGATACCATCTCATTCCAGTAGCAGTGGCAAAGTTTAAGAGGACAGCGAGTAATAAATTTTAGAGAGGCTGTGGCGAGATAGGAACTCTTACACATTGTAGGTGGGATTGTGAAAGAATACAACCATTCTGGAAGGCAGTTTGGTGTTTCCTCAAAAGGCTGAACACAGAAATTCCGTATGACCCAGCTATTCTACTGCTTGAAATATGCCCCAAGAAAATGAGAACTGAGACACTAAAGGAGACTTGTACACCAGTGTTCATAGCAGTATTATTCACTGTCACAAGAACATGGAACCAGCCCAGATGTCCAGATGCAATGGAATGAATTGAGAAATTATGGTACATTCACACAATGCAATACTACACAGCACACAGGAGCAATGAATTTGTAAATTACTACCTAACTTGAGAGGGACTGGAGAGCATTATGCTATGTTAACTCAGTCCCATAGGAACAAATATTATGTAAGACCATTACTGTAGAACAAGTATGAGGATCCAAGGTGGGGAGAGGATGGGAACAGATGGCTGAGGATGGGCAGGGGGATGTGGGGGGGACAATAATCACAGGATTGAACAATTTAATAGATGGAGGGAGGTGGAGGTGAGAGAAATGAGAAAGATCTGGTGTGAAAAACAATGTATACGAACTTTGTATATAAACCAGTATAAAATTAAAAAAAAAAACAAGCACCAAGTCATCCTGCTTGTACTTCTTCCAAGACAGATAAACAGATTCATTTGCTGTTTTGGCAGTCCATGGTATTCTAATACCACAATTCAAAAGCATAGATTCTTCTTCGTTCTTCCTTATTAATTGTCCAACTTTCAGATGCATGTGAATAAGATCAGTATTAGCAGTCAAAACAGGGTCAGGGAC